CAATGCACTCCTGGGTCCCGAGGCCCCATTGGAGATGCGGGAAAGAAAGTTAGGAATAAAAATGGAAGGCTTCCCTCCCCCTCCCCCTCTGCAGTCTTCTGCAGGCCCGTGGCTCCCGGCCAGCCGCCAGATGGGAGAGAAGGTCTGGGAGGAGGGAGCAGCGTTCCCAGGCAGATGGATGTCAGTGGTTTGGCCTTGGAACCTGTTGCCCCCACCCCGAGGCCAGGCTTGTTCTTCCAAAGGGAGACGCCCAGGAGTGGCCTCAGGAGCCCAGGTGGCCGCCTTCCCCGCAGGAATCCAACCCCAGTGACCCTTGGCACGTGGAAAAATATCTACCGAGGCCACGGGGACCGACTGCATTTTATTTCCCTTCTGTGCCCTCTTTTGTTCCAGAAAGTTCTGGAGGCGGTCTACAGAGATCATCAACTACAATAGGACAAAAATAGATGAGAGCGAGAGCAAGGCAGGAACCATCGGTGCCACCCACCGGGGGCGGGGCCGCGGAAGCCTCTCAGGTGGGCCACCGCGGTTCTCAGAGGCAGGCTGCACGCGGGGCTCTGAGCTTCCTGTTGGTCAAAGCAAAGAGGGCAACTAGCCAGCTTCAAGACTCACAAGGTCACGATGAACCCAGAAGCAGATGGACGCTTCCTAACACGAAGGTCTAAAAGCAATCCGTGAGGCCTGGGGAGGGCCAAGGTCACATTCCAGGCCAAGGTCTCAGCCCTGGTCTCCTAATAGAGACCAGCAGGCTGAATGTTTACATTGTCAACATCTTAACCATCCCCCTGGAGGTGGGGACTTCAGGAGGTCATGGAGGTCATGAGTGTAGAGCCCTTGGGAATAGAATTAGTATCCTTGGAAAAGAGGCCCCAGGCCACGCCACGCCTGTAATCCCAGTGACTCTGGAGGCTGAGGCAGGAGGATCCAAAATTCAGGCCAGGCTAGAAAACTGAGTGAGACCCCATCTCAAAATAAAAGTGGACTGGGGATGTAGCTCAGGGGTGTAGTGGTAGAGGCTGGCCTTAAACTTGGGATCCTCCTGCTTCAGCCTCCCCACTTGCTAGGATTAGAGGTGTACACCATCATGCTAGGCCAAGTCACATTTTTTTTATTCAAAGCATGAAAAAGATTTGTGGAGTCCCGTGAGGGAAAGGATATACCCTTACCTTATAAATCACCTGCATGACTGAGAAAATCGGCACCTTTTTTTCACTAACAGAGGGCTACTGTGTGGGTACACTTGAGGAGTGGCTGCATAGGGAAAGCTTTCTTTCTTTTTTGGGGGGGGTGGGTACAGGGATTGAGCCCAGAGGTGCTTTACCCCTGAGCCACATCCCCAACCCTCTTTATTTTAAGACAAGGTCTCCCTAAGTTGCTTAGGACCTCACTAAATTGCTTGAACTTGCAATCCTCCTGCCTCAGCCTCCTGAGTCCCTGGGATTACAAGCATGTGCCACGGAACCCGGCTGCATAGGACAACCTTTCTAATTCCACATCCTAAAATCAAAGGAAGGA